AAGTACATAGTTATGATGAGCAAGAGTGCCTCTTCCAAAATTGTGAATTTCATGGCCCCAGGGTCAGGGGTTCTGGTGTAAGGGGGGGGGGGGCTCTATTGACTATGTAGTGAAAATGCATTAATTATTTGAAAATCTTCTTCTCTGCTCCTGGATATTAAATAAACTAACTAAGAACATAGATATGATGAGCATGACTGCCTTTTCAGAAATTGTGAATTTCATGGCCCCTGGGTCAGGGGTTCAGGTGTTGGTGGGTGGGGGGCTCTATTGATTATTTGCATTAATTCTTTGAAAATCTTCTTCTCTACTCCTGGGTATTAAATAAACTAGCTAAGAACATAGATATGATAAGCATGACTGCCTTTTCAGAAATTTTGAATTTCATGGCCCCAGTGGGTCAGGGGTTCGGGTGTTGGGGGGGGGGGGGCTCTATATATTGTTTGCATTAATTCTTTGAAAATCTTCTTCTCTACTCCTGGGTATTAAATAAACTAACTTAGTGCATAGTTATGATGAGCATGGTTGCCTCTTCCAAAATTGTGAATTTCATGTCCCCTGGGTCAGGGGTTCCGGTGTCAGGGTGGGGCTCAATTGATATATATAGTGAAAATGCATTATTTCCTTGAAAATCTTCTCTCTCCTGGATATTAAATAAACTAAGTACATAGTTATGATGAGCATGGCTGCCTCCTCAGAAATTGTGAATTTTGTGGGCCCTGGATGAAGGGTTCTGGTGTTAGGTCGGGGCTCTAATGATATATAAGGAAAATACATAAATTTTTTCGAAATCTCCTTCTCTGCTCCTTGGTATTGTTCAAACAAAGGAAGTGCATGGTTAGGATAAGGAAGAATGCCTCTTTCAAAATTGTGAAATTCATGGCCCCTGGGTCAGGGGTTCTTTTGAAGGGGGGGGGGGGCTCTATTGATTTTATAGTGAAAATGCATAATTTCTTTCAAAATATTTTTTCTACTACTGGTAATAAAGCAAAAAAACAAGTGTATAGTTATGATGAGCAAAGTGCTTCTTCCAGAATTATTAGTTCATGGCCCCTGGGTAAGATTTTCTGGTGAAAAGGGGGAGGGGGGCTTTATTTATTTAATAACATAGTGAACATGCATTTCTTTGAAAATCTTGTATTCTTCTGGGCATATTCGAGGCAAACAGAGTAAAAGTTTTAATATGCAAGGGTATTTTTACCAGAATTTTGAACACCTGGATTATTTAGTCAAGTATTCTGGTCCTGGCCAGGGCTCTATGAACTTGTATTCTGCTGAGCAAAGTTATTCCCCTTTGCCATTCACCTTTGATAATTAATCACTGTAAATAATGTATTTGAAAGGTTAATAGAATAAGAGAATTATGCAAGAATATTTATTGTATAATACAAAAAGTACTTTTGTAGTTTTAATGAGCAGGTAGACTTGGAAATAATAGATGAATAAAAGTGAGGCAAAAATAACTTATCTTTTTTAATGTTCTTCAAAGGCCAAGAGAGACCAGTGTGAGAAGTAATAATATGGGGTTAAAAATAGACATTTTGTTAATAGTCTGCATGGTAATAGTGATAAATGGGGGACAGATAGATTCTATACCAATTATTTTGTTGATGCTTATCATACTATTTTTCTTGCTTTTGGGCAACAAAGCTTCATTTATCAGTGTATGGATCCTCTAAATTGTTGTATTGTACTCAGGTGACCGTTAAGGCCCTTAGGCCTCTTGTTTGTTTTAACATCCCTCTCGAGAATTTTTCACTCTTATGAAGACTCCACCACATGCTGTTGGAGGGCTACAAATTTAGACCTATACTCGGCCTTAGGGCCTTTGAGCAGTGAGGGATCTTTTTCGTGCCAGCACCTACAAAATCGAACACTATGTAATGAAGCTTTCACATAAGTATCATCTCTTCTGACCCAGTAGTTCTTGAGAAGAAGATTTTGAAAGAATTTTTCCTGTATATTCTATGAAAAACTTTGATTACCTATTGTAGACCCACCACTCTCCTGATTGACATTATCTGAATAAAACTGAATCTACTCTTTTTAGGTCACCTGAGTCACTCAGGTGACCTATTGCTATCTGTTTTCGTCCGTTGTCGTGCGTCGTGTGTTAACATTTGAACATTTTCAGCTTCTTCTCTGAAACCACTGAACCAATTTCAGCCAATTTTTGCATATGGCATCTATGTGTGAAGGGGAACAAAATTTGTGAATTTCATGGTCCCTGCCCCCCTGGGGCCTGAGGGATGGGGCTTAAACCATCAAAATTAATGCAATCTTTAAAAATCTTCTTCTTTACTCCTGGACATCAAGCAGTCAAACTGTTGACATGATTGTAATAAGCATTGAGCCCTCTACCAAAATTGTGAAATTCATGGCCAAAGGGTCAGGGGTTCTGGTGCTAGGGCGGGGCTATATAGATCATATAGTGAAAGTGCATTTTTTCTTTGAAAATCTTCTTCTCTACTCCTGGGTATTATTGAAACAAATTGAATACATAGTTATGATAAGCAAGGGTGACTCTACCAAAATTGTGAAATTCATGGTCCAAGGGTCAGGGGTTCTGGTGCTAGGGTGGGGCTATATAGATCGTATAGTGTAAGTGCATTATTTCTTTGAAAATCTTCTTCTCTACTCCTGGGTATTATTGAAACAAATTAGATACAGAGTTATGATCAGCAAGGGTGACTCTACCGTTAAGGCCCTTGGGCCTCTTGTTAATGAACTTTTCACAAAACTTTTCTGACATAATTATGCATCTTGAGGAGATTTTTGAAAGATGCCACTACATTTTCACTAATTTTTAGCTCTACTGGTCTGAGACCAGAAGAGCTTTTGCATTAGTAAGGTGTCCGTCGTCCGTCCGTCTAGCTGTCTGTCTGTAAACAATTTTTCTAAACGCCACTCCTCCTACAGTTTTGATCCAATTTCAATAAGACTTGGTACATAAGTAGACTACATTAAGATACGTAGTTCTGTGTATCGTTTTTTGATTTGGACAAACGATGTTGCTTTGATAACTAAAAAGAGAAATTTCTTTGTAATTCTTTCAAAATGCTACTCCTCTACAGTTTTGGTCTAATTTCATTATGACTTTGTACATAAGTAGACTACATTAAGATACATAATTCTGTATATCGGTTTTGATTTCGACAAACGATGTTGCTCTGGTTACTAAAAATAGAAATTTCTTTGAAATTCTTTCAAAATGCTACACCTCCTACAATTTTGCTCTAATTTTTACAAGATTTGGTACACAATTGGACAACATGATGCATTGTTCCATTTTTATGGCATCGAGCTCTTGAGCTCGAATGCCATTTAGCGGGCAACCAAACTTTACGCGACTGAATGTGTCGGTCAATGCATCCGCAAAAGAAAATTGGCCTAGTAGTTCTTGATAAAGAGCTGAAAATGTGAGGTTTACAGACAGACGGACAGACAGATGGATGACAGACAAAATATGACCAAAAATGCTCACTTGAGCTTTCAGCTGAGGTGAGCTAAAATGCCAGCCCTAACACCAATTATATCAGTACGTGTATAAGAATAACGCAAAAAATAATTTCCAGATAATCATTACTTCTGAGCAAAAAAATTAACATTCAATCTCCAAGTTTATAATTATATATAACGAGAAAAAAGGAATAGGCTGATTTATCAGATATCTCAAGAATTACGGTATCTTGACAAATCATAGTGATGTACACCAATCCTGGACACAATTTTCTGACCAAAACCTTTTCTCCTGACAGTATTGCTAGTAATGCTAAATAAATACAACTTGTTTACTTACTTATCTGCCGTACACTTTGTGTATCCATCTGTCTGTGTGTGTCAATCTCTCTCTCTCTCTCCATGACTTTAGCAAACATTCTTCAACACAATATATCGACGACAAAATGTGCAAATGCTCACAGTGCATATTGCCGCCGACGACAAATGTGCCGATGCGTGACTGTACACTTTGTCGTCCATTATGCAGGAGGAAAAAAAGGCTTGTCGTGATTCCTGTTGTCGCCGGCGACAGTATGTACCGATGGACAACAATATGTGCAGTGAGGGTATGTATATATTGTTGTAGATGACAATATGTACAAAACGACAATATGTACCGTCACATCACCTCACCCCCACCCCCCACCCGTCGAAACAGCGAAGTAGTTACTCAAGATATAAAGTTAAAATTGATAGAGAAATCTGATGAATTTTAATAATAAAATTCAGTTCCACTGATGTAATCTGATATTTTGCCAGCATTCATTCTTCATCTGTTTTGTCTATAGAAATTATAATTATTATACTTAAAATAAATTTATCTATAAAAGTAGCGATTGTCAGCTGCATTCAATAGCATTTAACGCTTTTTGGTGAATGTATTACTTGCATATAAAATAATTTCATTCAGTGATATTGAGAATTATTTGAATTTAATTTCCATCATTTTTGTTCATTGAAAATCCCGGGATCCACTCCCGCTTTTTTGTGAAAACCTCATCACTACTCTACCCAAAAGATTTAGCAGGCCGGAAGTGTTCATGATTCTTCTAAACTAAGAAAGTTTACACATACTTTAAAATCTCATTTAAAACATCAGCCCCTGTTCAAAGCAGAAAATGCCTGATTTGAAGAGGAAAATTCAGGAATTAATTTGTTTCAGCCATGTTTTGACATGAACCTTGCTCTAATTTTTTCTCCCGACCAAAGCTAGCAAGCCTAAAGGAAAGGGGGGATGGGGGTCTACGAATACTTACTTCTTTAAGCATTAAAGAATCTTATAGCTTATGGTTCAGTTCAGGGTGACATACGCTATTGCTTGCAATAGCAGACTTTCTAGTTCTATTTATTGCTGTTACAAACTTTCAAATCAAAGTGCTACTTTTCTATTCCTTTGCTATGAGTACTAACCAGTAAAGATACAGTCTTATCAAAGACTTCCGGTTTTATCATGATGCTTTATTTGTTCTGTTAGACTAATATATCTTTGTTTCTTTTAGACTACTTGAAGTTTTGGATTACCTCAATCAAGACATTTGGAGGCCAAAAGGCACCACTGTTTCTTGTTGCCACACACACGGAGAAAAAATCTACAGATGTAAGTATTCAGGCTTGAAGGAATGTGAACTAGAAAAGAATAAACGGATCTCCAACCTATCCTGAGAATGCACAAGTACAGGCATACTTCAGAAATACAAAAAAAAAAGATTTTTTGGCCTATTAGGTTATAAGATTTTTTACAGTCTTTACAAAATGAATTGGTTTTTATTTATGTTGATGACTATAGGCAAAATGTGTATAATAATTCCTTTCTTTGATATTGATAGCTCACCTGAGCTGAAAACTCAAGTGAGCTTTATGGATCATCCATTGTCCTTAGGCCATCCATCTGTCTCTGTATCTGTTTATCCCGCTTTAAAAATGTAATATTTTTACTTCTTAAGTACCACTGGGCCAAAATTAACCAAGTTGGCACAAAGCATCTTTTGCTTAAGGATATTTTAAATTTTCAAAGAAAGGCTAAGCTTCCTTCCAAGGGGAGATAATCAAGGCAAAACTAGGGAGAAGTCATTAAAAATTATCATCATCAGACGTTACAAGATCCACTGTGCCAGAAAAAAATAAAACTTGTTTGAAAGCTTCCTGAGATAGTGTATGTAGATTTTCTTTAAATCTTGGATCTCATGGGGAAGGGTAGGGCCACAATAGGAGATCAAGGTTTTACATTGAAATATATAGGAAAAAATCATTTAAAAAAATCTTATAAACCGCTGGACCAGGAAATCTGAAACATATGTGAAAGCATCATCAGGTAGATTAGATTCAAATCATTTCAACCTTGGTCCCGATGGTAGGTTGTGGCCACAATAGGCAATCAGAGATTTACATTGAAATATAATGGGAAATATTGAAAAATCTTCTTCTGAACCCCTAGGCCTAAAAAAAAATATGTTTGTTTCCTGTAACATTCCCAAAAAATCAAGAGTCGGTAGGTAGGATTTTTTTTTTTTTTTTTTTGCTTATAAATAATGGAGTCAAACATCACCGGACTGAATTATCCAGGTGTTATATTTACAGTGGACACCCAACATGGCTGCCTAGCGGCAGAAAACAAACTTCAAAAAGTTGTGGTTGAAATTGTTGTTACAATAATGATTACTCTTTATATTTAAGGTAAATGTTGACTAGGATGACATATTTTATATCTCAAATAAAGCTACAATTAATATTTTTTGAATATATGGAATCAGCTGAATGATCAAACCAAAGAGCAAACGCAGATTTGGCAGAAAAAAAATCCACCCGGGGGTAATTTGAATGGGTCGGTCGGGTTACAGGTTTTTTAAGACCCTATACCAGAAAAAATGAAAAAAAAAGTTTTCTAGAATATTATAGGTTCTTTTTTTTAATCTTGGCCCCCCTTGGGAAGGATGGGGTCACAAAGGGGGTCGGAGTTTTAAATAGAAATGAGGTGAGCGTTATGGCCCAAGGACCTCTTGTATTTAATTCTTGTTGTTGCAAATATGGTATGTGGAAGAACCTTTTCATAGATTTAACAGGGCTCTCAATTCTCTATAATTGGGGCCGTTGAATGGATCCGTTCCCAATGCAAAAAGGTACCTTTTTTCCCAAAAGAAAGGTGTAAAATTCCCAATTTTCTGTAGCAAAATATTTAAACAAAAAATCAAATTCAATGAAAATTAATCACCGAAGAAAACAAAAATAAAACAAACACTTACAAGTGAAAGAAAATAGAAAATTTTATTTTTTCTGAATGTTTCATTTCCCAGTTTTCCCAAAATGTTGGTAACTTCCCAATTTGAACGGCCCTAGTCCCCGTCTCAAAAAGTGGTGTGAGAGCCCTATTAGATGACTATAATGATGCATTTTGTTTTCAAAAGTTTTTAGTTCGTTATCTTTTTTTCCATTCATAACTATTTACTATTGAAAATGTTCATTGACAGGCCGGTTAACCCCCCCCCCCCATTACAGTAAAGTCAAATAAGGGTTCTGTAGTATTGTATGAATAAAATTTGGTACAGAAAGAAGTTGGAACCCCCCCCCCCCCCCAAACACACACACACACACACACATGAAAAGGATTTTCGAATTTAGGCAATATCCTTTATTTAATTTTTAAAAATTCTTTATTACCTTTTTTTGCTTGTCAATTTTTAGCTCTTCTGAGCCAAAGGCTCAAAGAGCTAACGCTATGGCCATTTGTGCGGTGTGCATAAATTTTTTAGAATATGGGCCATAACTTAAGAACCCCTTGGCCAATTATTGTCAAATTTGTCAGAGGGTATCCTTGGCCCAAGGGCTTTGTTTTATACTAAAACTAGAGTTGTGACCCTTAAACTAGGGGAGATAATTAGGAAAATAGAAACAAAAGTACTGGTTGCTAAAAAATCTTCTTCTCAAGAACCACTGGGGAGATTATCACCAAAATTACTCGAAAGGATTTACCCTAGGGCGAAGGGCGTTGTCTCAAGGTCACTTCAAAGTTGACCAAAAATTACAATTTATTAAAATGTTGATATTTTGCTTACTATAAGGACTAGGATCATCAAATCTTGTCAGTTGATGCATCTAAGGACCTCATATCATGCTGACTCAAAAGAAGGTCATGGTGACCTACTTTTTAAATTTTGCGGCCATCCTTTTTCCAAATGATTTAGAGGCATATTTTGAACAATTTAAGGCCTAGGATCATCAAACTTTGTCAGTTGATGTATCTTGGGTCCTCAAAGTACGTCAACTAAAATGTAGGTCACCTTGACCTACTTCTTGAGCGTTATGGATAATCTTTTTCAAAACAGTTAAGGTCATTAATTCGAATACCGAGAGGTTTACAATCATTAAATCTTGTAAGGTTATGCATCTTGGGGCAATAAAACATAAATATAAAAAAGTAGGTCACAGTGACCTTCTTTCTGAACTTTGCAGGAATTCGATTTCAAAGCGTTTTAGAGACATAATTTGGACATTTTAAGGCCTATGATCATCAAACTTTGTCAGTTGATGCATCTTGGGTCTTCGGAGTAGGTCGACTGAAAAGTAGGTCACCGTGACCTACTTTTGAAAATTTATGGCTTTAATTAAATATTTCGGGTACTAATTGGCTTTGAATCATCAAACTTTGTCAGTTGATGCATCTTCGGTCCTCGGAATACAACAACTGAAAAGTAGGTCACGGTGACCTACTCTTGAAAATTTATGGCTTTAATTTAATATTTTGGGTACTTATTGGCTTAGAGTCATCAAACTTTGTCAGTAGATGCAACTTGGGTCCTTGGAGTATGACAACTGAAAAGTAAGTCACGGTGACCTACTTTTGAAATTTTATGGCTGTATTTAATATTGTCGGGTACTATTTGGCTTAGAATCTTCAAAATTTGTCAGTTGATGCATCTTGGGTCCTCGGAGTAGGTTGACTGAAAAGTAGGTCACCATGACCTACTATTGAAAATTTATGGCTTTAATTAAATATTTCAGGTACTTATTGGCTTAGAATCATCAAACTTTGTAAGTTGATGCATCTTGGGTCCTTGGAGTACATTAGCTTAAAAGTAGGTCAAAGTGAAAATTTTATGGTTATAATTTAAAAAAAATATTTTGGGTATTAATTGGCTTAGAATCATCAAACTTAGTTGATGAGTCCTCAGAGAATGATGAGTGATAAGTAGGTCACCATGACCAACTCACAGGTACTAATTGGCTTAGAATCATCTTGGGTTCTCAGAGTGTGAATTGGAATTCCAAGGGTTTATCTAAATATACAGGATACTTAGAGGCTTCAAATAGAAGTGATAGGTTGTACAGTTTATCAGAAGAGTGATTCAAGGCCCTTGGGCCTCTTGTTTCAAATAAGTTGATTTTTTTTCTTCTGTGGCTGCACCCTCCCCCTTTCAAAAACAATGCTACGTCAATATGTCAAGTCTGGATATGCTTTTATTAAGAAGATGGATCTTAGTTACGATCAAGATTTATCATGGATATTAAATATACAAATTGTATGGAATGGAATCTAAGAGTGTGCACTATGATCAATTGATCAATTGATTTCAGAATTTTATGTTACATGTGAATAGATAAAGCAAAAGTATTTCAAGTTCTGCATTAAACTTAATAATCCAGACAAGCAATAGTACTACAAGGGCAGATTAAATAAAAGCAGATACATAGAATTTATTAAATTCGAAGGTATCAAATTGATAAAATATATATAAAAAAAAAAATTCAGTTATATCATAGTGGAAAACTAGATTCGTTTTGCCATTTTTTCTACATTCACTTTTAAATTTTAAATAGACGACTTGTCTTGATTTCTGCTACGATTTTACTTTGTTTGTTTGTTTGTATGTTGTTTAATGTCCCTCTCGAGAATTTTTCACTCATATGGAGACGCCACCATTTGCCGGTGGAGAGCTTCAAATTTTGTCCTATGCTCGGCACTTATGGCCATTGAGCAGTGAGGGATCTTTTTTGTGCCAACTCCTACTGCGACACGGGACCTCGGTTTATACGGTCTCATCTGAAGGACCGGTCTCACAGTGGGAATCGAACCCGCGAGGTAAGGATCAACTCCTTACTTCGCGACTCTAGAGCAGATGCTCTAACCACTGCGCCAGGCGGGCGACTGCTAGGATTTTAAAAATAATTGCTAATACTTGAGATTAACACAGACTTATGCGTATGTTTTATTGCAAATCATGATTTTTTTATCCCCCATAATTGAAGATTCGGGGGCATATAGTTTTTGCCCTGTCTATCTGTCTGTCCGCAAAAACTTTAACCTTGCCCATAACTTTTGATTGGTTGGAGCTATGGCTTTCATATTTCACATGTGTATTTTTTGTGACAAGACCTTTCTTTAGATACCAACAATTTTGACCCTTTGACCTTGACCTTGGAGTTTGACCCACTTTTGCAAAATTTTATGAGACTTTTACCTTGGCCATTACGTTTGAACAGTTGGAGTTTAGGCTTTCAAACTTCATGTGTCTATTTCTTGTGACAAGACCTTCATTTGAGTACCAACATCTTTGACCCTTTGACCTTAACCTTGGAGTTTGACATACTGTTGATAAAACATTT